TATACAGGGTGAATTGCTACTCGTGCTACAAACTTCTCCAGTAGATTCTTCACCCTAAAATGAACAAAAAAGTTCATATTGTCCATGGTCCGATTCTCAACCATTTCAGAGTAATTTCGCTTTTTATCGATTTTGAAAGATATCACGTCCTGGCGTCGGAAAATCGTGATATCTTTTAATCTAAACATTTCTCTGAAANCTATGTATATATATAGCAAAAATGGTAAGGAAAATGAAAAAAAAAGACGGCCAGATAAAATTTGTTTTTTGTTTTAGATTTTTAATTAGCATTTCAATATCGCATATTCCCTCCTCTTCCCTTAATTACATCTCGAGTTTTCGGCATACTTTCTACCAGTCTGGAAATGTCTATTTGCTGAAGGTTAGCCCATTCTTCACGAAGAGTCCTTTCAAGATCGTGGAGTGTATGTACCAGGAAATGATTGACGTGCTTTTTGAGGTTATTCCATAAATGTTCGATGGGTTTAAGTCCGGAGAACGGGCTGGCCAGGCTATGCTCGAGTTACGTTTGTGCTATGCGAGCGACATGTGGACGGGCATTAACGTGCATTGGAATAGGATTTCACCGAGGATAGGCAACGCATGATGCTCCAAAATTTCATCCACATATCGAGTGGCCGTCAAAGACCTCCAGGAACAAAACCAACTCTGTGCGACTCTCCGTTAAGATTCCACACCATCACTGAGCTACGTTGAAAAGGTTGGCACTGGGAAGCATTACAAGTTTCGTACTTTTCATTTCGCCTTCTCCACACTCTTTCATGCCTATCGGGGGATCGTAGACCAAATAGCAAATGGGAGCCGAGCAACTCTGTGTTCTGGTCAATTGTGGTTCTCTTACCATGGAGGATGGTGAAAAACCATCAGTTCATACTGATTTAATCTCCTTCGAGCAGTGCGTTCAGAAATTTGAACACCTGGAACTTCCTGGAGCTGATGAATCGCTTGAAGAACAGTAATGTGCCGGTTTCGCAAAATTCTCAAAGTCAAAAAACGGTCATCCTGTGATCCTGTTATCCAGGGCGTCCAGAACCGGGCCTTCTATGGTAGGACCAAATTTCTTGAGTACGTCTAACGGCGTCTCGCAGTGTTTCCGATGGAACTCGGTTGAGGGGCCAGACCACGCGCAACGTCCTCAGCACCAAGTGACATTTTTAAGTTTAACAATTGAAATTAAGAATACAAAGATGAAAACTAAACTGTTTATTGCTTCAGAATTCAAATTAGAATGAATAAACATTTTAAAATCCGTAGAAAGTAAACATTTAAAAATCCTTTATCTTGTTTTTGATTAACGATTGTGTTCCTCTAATAGATATTTCCATTAAATTGGATATATACATAGCATAAATAAACATTTATTGGTAAAATCAATGAGAGAAATTAAGGGCTGAATGTTATTTTATCGCGAAAAAAAATCAATTGGTTATGTTTTGCTTGTCAGTGTGTTTGTGTATATATATTTAGAATTTTGTAATAGACTTGCTAATGTTTCTCTTTTTTTTACGATAAATTTCATGTCTGAGATAACGTTAGTTCTTCTGATTTTTTTTCTCTTGTCTATATCTAACTGTGGTAAAGTCTGATCTTCGTTTTGACGATTTTTTTTATCTCGCTTTTGAAAAGTGTATGATTTTATTGAATTAGGTATTATACTTTTAAAACGTGTATTAACTTTTACATTTAACATAAAAAAATATTGAGTTTTAAGAATAACAAGGAAACTCCGATCTTTTTACACTAAATATAAATTCAGTTATATTTAAGTTAAAATGTCGGAACACTCTCTGCTACTAAAACTTTACAATGTAACTTTTTCACAGAAAAAAAAAGATTTTAATTTCTTTACAATAAATCAAAACTGAAAAGTAATAGTAGTAAAAGTAGTACAATTCTTGTGTTTAGAAAAATAAAAAAGGTTTTTGCTTTCTTAAAAAAAATTAACCCCTTACACTTTTAATTAATAATAATTAATAATGTAAATCTAATATAATTGATTATATATGTATTCTATTCTTTAAACATATTAATATATGTCGTAATAAAAGTAAAAAGCGTTTGTTGGCTCACTGCGAAAAAAAGGTGAAAAACACACAGGCTTCTTGTCTTTCGGAAGGTGAAAATCTCTGTCCTTGCCAAAGAATTCCACAATCCAGTCCAAAATTTACCTTTTATAGTAAAAATCGAACCACAAATAGCTAGCTACTCGTCGAGCTTCAACGTGCGAATCCCCCTTTTTTCATTTGAGAAGGGATAAGGTTTAATCCGGTGCATTGCCTACATTATTGTTCCGTATCAAATGAATATTATAGAGGATGACATTGTATAATTGATCTTTCGTGTTGCGTAATTAACAATAGTTAAATCAGAAATTTCTGTAATAGTAATAAAATTTGGAAGGATTGCAGCTGGACAGAAAGATTCCCAAATGTTTCATGCAATTAATTATTTATCTTGGCAAGAAAAGAATGCTGAAAGTAATATTTTAATGAGTGTAAATTATTTATATAGATGGGAAACATATGTTTTATTCTAATGTTTGACTCCCTTCTGCTGCAACAGCCCTAGTTTACGAGAAACAAACAAAAGTTTTTTTTAAATCGTTACGAAGAATATTTTGGTATGTCATAATCGTTAAGGAAATAGGAGGAACACTCGAGACATCTAAATCTATCTTTGATTGAGTTCTTGCGAGATGAATGGAGGCAGAAGGGCATAGAGAGAGGGGAGAAAAAGCCAGATCCTTCTAATGGAAAGAGCACGAGTCGAAATTGATGCTCGTGGATCGTTCAACACGGCACGTGAACTATTCTCCGATGTTTCAGAGCACACGACACCGACTTGTATTACATCGGGACCAGTTATGATACGCCCTTACATCCTGACAAGCGACCTCCTGATATTCTACCCTCTCCGTTTTCACATTCTGGTTTATACCGATACGTCGTTTTTTTCCTCTTCATGTGGCATGTTAATATTTGATATCCTGTATTTGTTTTTTACGGTAGAAAACACGCAAGAAGACAAGTTAAAATGCGATCTTTACAAAACCTGTTATAAACTGAACACGTTTCGATGAAAATTAAGATTAATTTTTCCCCTAAAAATAACACTATACCTTTAAATTCTCTATTAGACAGAGGTCAATATTCAGCGTGATCAACAGTACTTAAAGGCGAACTATTGTGAGTGAAGTTGGCAGAACAACATAAACATCTTATATAAAACTTTTTTTCTTGTCGTTTTTTGTAATTATCTATATTCCACAATCATTTTCTGAGTGATGTAAACATGAAAGAATTACGTTTGAGTTCTGCAACGCAAGATTCATCGTGATGTTGAAACCACTGAGAGTTTGTTTCATTGACCTTTTGACGTATAAATAATCTTTATATTTATTTCTTTTATACTTTCTTAGGTCTGCTAACATTCTTTTACTTATTTTACGAAAATAAAGTATTGTTTAACGCTAAAAATTATAAATAAAAGGTAATGTTTGGTTTTTTACCTGTTTCCATGATCCTACCTATTTTCACAAGCTACATGCTTCGCAGAATTTTCCTTTTGGTATTGTTTGATTTTTAATGTATATAAAGTTACATTGGCATTGTTTGGCAGGTGGGGCAGTTTAAAAGCGTCATTACTACGACCTTATTGGATAATTGACCCTTTTTCGATACCATTATCGTCGGTACCCTTTGAACAAATTGAAATATATTTTGCGTACTTGTTGACAATTTTATAAAGGTTCAAAAATATGGAACATTATTTTATTGAAAATCCTTTAAGCCATTTCGTAACACTAAACAATATAAAAAAATAACTCTCTATAACAAAAATCGATAATTTTATTATTTATCAACAATTAACAAATCTTTTATATTAGAAAATTATATATTACGTCAATTAGTTTTGTTTCATTATCAGCGGTTTTAACTAGCTTTCTAAAAATATATTATAATAATTCAATAAATTTATAATAATTTATTTTAATGAAAAATCCTTTGTTTTTTGTTAGCGAAACCTTGTTTTTACATAAGCGGGATACTCCAAGACACCTTTCCCCCCATTTTAGCCGGTGTCACCCAAGGAATCACGCTTGCTCCCTTACTTTATTCCTTCTTTACAGCTGATGTCCCATTGCATCGCCTTAACATTCACATACGATGTCACGGAAATCCGTTCCACAAACATTGATCTTCTTATTTCTATCCGCAACCTCCAATTCTATATTCATATGCTTTTATCCTGGTTTCGACAATGTACAATCAAGGTAAATATCAAAAATCTAAATAGATAGTTTTCACTTTTAGTCTTTTAACTCTCAAACGTGAGAATTTATACGGCAATCTGATTCCTCCAGCAAATAGTACACGGTATTTACTTGGACCTATTTGACACACGACTAGGACGTATTGCCCGAAACCATAGATATAAAAAGCTGAAAAGACTACTTGGCAAAAGATTTAAACTGGTTTTACTTATCAAAAAGCTATTATACAATACCCTAATCGCTCCAATATGAACTTACGGACTTAATCTGTACGGTAGAATCAAAAGTTCCAACTTAACATAATCTAATCCCTACAACACCCAAGCCTTTGCATAACAGTTTATGCTTCATTCTACCTCACCAATCATTATCCACTCTCTACTTACCCGATCCAAACCCGATCCAACTATTTCTCCAACCCTCATAGAAGAATGACGGCGCAGGTGGCGTCACAACAATCTGATTGTGTAACTTCGACAACTCTAGGATGTGTTGTCAATATCACGCTATAATGGCCAATTACGGTCACCATCCAGTAGATCCATCATGCCGGACATGTAAATGAATCCTTGTAAATAACATAATTGTAGCTTGTTGCATTTTGTACGCAGTTACACAACTAAAAACAAAACACATACGCTGGAAGGGTAATTTAAATCGAGAACTGCCCCGGTGGGGAGATGAAGGTACAAAAACAGTGTAAATATAAATAATAAGTAGAGAGATTTATTTATACAAAAATATTAAGATATAAACGACATTGCATGTTATATACATGACTAGAGGGAAGTATCGCCTGTTCAACTTGGACGGATAAATAACAACCTTTTAAGAAATCATACAGTGCACACAAAAATTAAAAGAAAAATTATTGAGCAACACAAATATAAAGCCAGTAGAAAAAGATATAAATATAACAATGTACATTTTTATTAGTAATTTATTACTATTCAACTAACAAATGTTGTGTTATATATTGAAACCTGACGGGGCATGAATAAATATTTAAATAACGACGATTTAAAGCTATTATACATTGATTCAAGCGGACAAGGAGAATTTAACAATATGTCCGCTGATTAGAGAAATTAAAGTTATACAACTCTTTAAAAAAAAATGCATCTTATAATTTTCACATATCACTTGAAGCTAGTTTTAATTGTACTTCTCTACACTCTAATTCTCCCATACCCTTTTCATTCCAGGCTATTTACACACTTGTTTGAGATCGTTTTAGTGTATTTTTATCAATTGCAATTCGCGATTATTCGGAAGGAGTCGATTCCTCGCTGTCCTGTTGGATGACCGTCGGAGGATGGCAGTGGGTGCACAGCCTTCCGTCTCCACCCAAAAACGTCTTACCACATGTTCTGCATTCTTCTTGAGATTCACCTTCAACAAAAATAATTTAATTAAATTAAAAGGCATTAGCAAACAATAGAGAGATTTTGAATAACGTTAGCGTGAATATAACGCTAAATTGATTAAAGTGTAGATGCGCAGATTTAACGGAACGCTATCTGAAATATCGGCCTACGTTATTGTTCTTATCATAGCGTGTGCTTGTTAACGGTGACGGTAAAGTCAACAAATTATTTTTTTTCTGCACGGATTGTCCAATTTAAAAAAATATATTTTGTTTATAGAAATATAATAAAGTTGATTATTTTATAGTTAATCTGTTACAATTAGCACGTTTTCATGAATCCCGATTTTTAATTCGATTTTAATACCAAATGTATATTTGGTGTTCCAACATTAAAATACTTAGCTGTTTTATTTTATACAATCTGGAATGACAGAAATACAACAACTTTAGGCATCTTTCCTTCAAGTCCTGGTTATAATGCTTATGTATATGATTAACTAACTGTAATGTTTTAGTTTTTCCTAAAATTGTTAAGCTAAGCTAAAAACGCTTTTTCTTAAGATTTTTTGCACTTTTCATAATCAATTCCATTTAAACTGAACTTGTCCTGAATCACCCGGCAATTAATTAATGTTTACTTTTTACGTTGAGCCTCTACAACTATCACTCAGATTTGCCAAACTGTCGTCAGCAATCAAAAGAAAATCTATTAAATTGGACCCACAAGGAAATTATAATAATTTTAAACTATCATGAACTGAACAAATACTTTTTTCTTAATTTTTAATTGTTTATGTATATTTTGGGTTTGTTGCAAGTTCCGATTATCAAGGCTTGGGGTGCTCGGAACAAACTGCCCATCACGTGCTACAATTTATTTGTTTATGAAAACTTTTTTGGAACCAATTTCCTAGGCAATGCCCATCAGTGAGAGGCACGAAAGAAGATCTCGGCAGTAGGTTTGTATTACAGAGAGATACCGTTAGCGTGAATGGTAACGCTAAATTGATTGAAGTACGCATGACAGTAAAGCCAACAAATTAGATTTTGATGGGGATATTGTACAATTAAAAAATATAATAATATTATATATGTAAAAATACAATAAAGTTGTTTATTTTACAGTTAACATTTTCAATTCGCACAAGTTTTCATGAATCCACCGTCTCCTTCGAATTTCCTATTTGGTGCTAGAATATTAAAATAATGTTCTACCGTCATATTTACATACAACCAGAAATGATAGTTAGCTAGAATTCTAAGGGACAGGTATAGAACGTGGTTAAAATGCATATGTATATAGTAAACTATCTGTAATGTTTTATTTTTGCTAAGCTAAAAGCTTTTTTTTCTTACGAGTTTTTCCACTTTTCATAATCAATTCCATTTAAACTGAACTAAATCTCCAATCGCCCTAACGTTGGCTTTGGACGTTAGAGCTTCTGCAACTATGAGATCCTCAGCATGTGACCAACAAACTATCAAAACAAAATCCATGCCATTCATGAACGGTACCTTTGTTTAAGCCAGAAGCACACTTACCCGATGCCACGCCATGCGACGCTACCCGATGCTACCCGACGCAAATCAAAACTCCGATTTTCCATAAGGTTGCATTAACCCCGTGCACATCTACCCGATGGTATGCCACGCTAACCTACCGATACCCACTGTCCAGATTTGCGCCGGATCGCATCGAGTACAGTCGAAGACAAAAGAACCGGACACTCATATTTTTATTCAAACTACATGTATTATTGTCGTTATATTAATTACAACATACTTATTTTAATATAAACCAAATTAACTGTGATTAAAAATTAATTAGTTTTTATTTAAAAAATTAATTTTAATGGTTTGGTAGAAAATTAATCAAAACACCGGAATACGATTTTTTGATATAATGAATTTAACTAACAATTTATTGTACTCGCTTCGGCGGTACATATACTAAAATTGGAACAATTTATTACACGGTTTTGCTCATAAAATTTAATTAACAATTTATTTCATAGTTTTGCTCATAAAATTTAATTAACAATTTATTTCATAGTTTTGCTAGTAAAATTTAATTAACAATTTATGTCATAGTTTTGCTCGTAAAATTACACTATTTTCTAATGTCGGGTAGCTCCAGAACAGGACACTCATATTTTTTGTAGTTTATTTCAAACTAAGTACATGTAATTTTGTCGTTATATTAATTACAATCTGTTATTTTAATGTAAACCAAATTAAACGAGATAAAAAAATGCATAAATTTTTATAAACATTGTTTAATTATGATGGTTAGGAGTAACTTTATTTAAAGCAATTAAGTTTAACAAACAATTTATTAGATGGTTTTGCTCATAAAATTTAACTAACAATTTATTACAAGGTTTTGCTGAAAATAGTGCATTAAGAACAAAAGATGCGTTGCGATTGTGATAGTGATTATTGTGATAAACGCTGTGGACTGTACGCGACGTGTGCTTGCGTCGGAAAGATGAGCACACCCCACCAAAACGTGGCAAGGCGTCAGGTAGCATCGGGTAGCGTCGCATGGCGTAGCATCGGGTAAGTGTGTTCCTGGCTTTAGAAGCTTGGTAGATACGATACTATAACCTGAACTACTACTAACACCCCAGGTAACTTAGCGTTAGCGCCAACATCTGCTATGCAAAACGTCTTCAAATAGCGTCAACGTTAAATAAAATCAGGAATGACAGTTAGTTACAACAATCTTCTACACCTTTCCTTCAATAAAGTCACATCAATTGTCTAAAACAGACCCTTTGGGTGAACCGCCTAAATACAATCTAAAAGCTAAAATTCTAAGAGACAGGTCAGAATTTGGTTATAATGTGTATGTATATGGTAAACTAACTGCACTTATAGTTTACTTTTTCTTAAAAGTGCTAACTTTTTCCCTTAAGGGTTTTTGACATTTTTTAAAATCAATTTCATTTAAACTGGACTAAAACCCTGAATCGACCTAATTTTTACACTGTACGTTCGAGCTTTTTCTTAAAATTGCTAAGCTAAGCTAAAAAAAATGTTCTTAAGAATTTTAGACTCTTTTCGTCCTCAATTTCATTTCAACATAACTTGCTCTGAATCACCCAGCAATTTATATTTATTTTGTACGTTTAGAACATCCGTGAATGTTTTCAGGCTTGTATGATACGATACCATAATCTGAATTATCAAAACGATCTACCCATGAAACTTCGAATTAGCGGCAAAATTCGCTATGCAAAAAGTCTTCACAGCGAGTACATTATTTGAAAGACGTTAAGCATAACGTGACCTTGAAATAGCGGAAACGTTATTCAAATCTTTAAAATAATTATTGTTACTGACGAGAAAATAGTATTGGCCAAAGTGGTACAGAGTATGGAGGGAACAAAAGAAAATAAACATATTATGAGATTGGATGGATTGATAACTGTTTGAGAAAACGAAAACAGCAAAGAAAGGCCTAAATGGATCTGCGAATAATAAAAAATTGACAGAATTGACTTATGCCGGCGAATGAAACTGGAACGATAAAACTGCGATATATTTTCTTAAAAGCGGATGCGGTTAAGTGTTGTTTTTTTACAGGTGTGAGCCCAGATTAATAAGAAAAGACATCCACTTTTCAGGGACGGAATAATCCAGTTGATAACTACCGTAGCGGCCGGGAATTCATTTGATCACTCTGCCGGCATTATGTCGGTAAGGCGCCGCATTCCTCGGGCGCCCCGTAATACAATTTTAATACTAGACTGGAGCAAAAAGAGTATAAACAGGGCATTAAAAAGGGGACCTATATACATAATACATGACGGAAAATGACATAGAGCCCCTCGGACCAGCCCATATTAAAGTGCCATCATAATTTCGCAAGCGGTGAACCGACCGGCCCGAAATGAATTGACCTCTTAGCCGAGGAGGATCATTTGCCCAGTGGATCATTACAGAAGTACCTGTACCTGTTCGCCGAGGCGACACTCGTCATTACGGACCCGGGACCCAAATAGTCCACCCCTCGGCCAAACGGAAATGACATATAATTTACTTTCAGCGTGGCATTACTGAATTAGATAATAGCAACACTATTCGGGACATGCGTGATTTCGCCCTCAATTCTGTCCGAAAAGGAAAAATCTTAAGAAAAATTCTATGGAAATCATTTTAAGATTGATGATCTTACACAAGATAAAGTAAACAAATTTAATTGAAATTAAAAATCAAACATTTGTTCGTACTGGTACTTAATATTGCTGCAGATGAAATGCTGTAGTGCAGTACGATGTTTCCAGTAAAAAAATTGGTAAGGTGTTTTTCAAATCAAAACGATCATTGTATAT